ATAAATGTGTGTGTGTGTGAAGACCAAACTGAATTACTTATTCTCATTTGTGCAATTCTTGACTCTAATCTTTTGTACCTTGATGTATATAAATAACCTTCTCCACAACAGAGAGCCCCAAAAGACCCTTTTCAAATGAACTAGCCTGCCTGCTAACATAATTTTGCAGGCTAGCGACTACCTGTCCTGTCTCTTCTGAACCATTTAAAGATTTTGACCTTTTGCTCGCGAAATAAAAGGCACAGACTCACTATTCACATTCCCGGACAGCTTCCTTTTTTTGTACACACACAGCTTAACAAGCTTACCTGGCGAATTTGTCCAACACGGCTTGCAGCACTTTTGAAAGAGTATCTGTCTCAATACCTGTTAGCTCTAATGCAATCCATCTTAGAAGGCTGTCAGTCATCTGTATCCTAGATACGACCTTTTTTTTCTCCAGCCCTTGTATTTTAAGTGTCTACAGTTAAAGAAAGTAAGAAGAGCACCCCCTACTGATGCTCACTGATTTTTAAGCAATTTTCTATTTATATATCGAATATTATTTTTAGTATTTATATACACAAATATTTATATTATACGTATATATACAAATCCCTATAGCTCCAGATGAAGGAAGAATTCCTTGCTAAGCAGAACTATGTTCACTAGAGGGTTTAATCCTGTTTCAGACAAATTCAGTTAGATACTCTTCAGTGTCTTCAGGTATATAGGATTAGGCACTACAAACATTTCACCACAGAAGGCAGCAGAGTCTTTTTTTCACATGCTAAGCATGCTAAGATCTGAGCCAAGTTACAAAGGATACAAATCATTTGACTATTCCAATGGGACAGTAACTTTTCATTTTTTATTTCTCTGCTCTTTCACAAAATTATTTTGGCTGCAATCTACACATTACTGTCTCATTTTCAGGGTTTAATGATAGATCTGCATTGACCTAATGATCAGTGAACAGGTCTCAGTTAAGATAAATTCCACCAAGCATTGCTGTTGTAGATGTCAGCAACTTCTCCCTCCATCTTTGCCATGAGCACTGAGTGAGTAGCTTACAAAAGCTCCAGATAAAGACCAACAAGAGGTAGTAAGCCGCAGGATCTCTTATCTAGTAGTAGTTCTACAAGCTCAGAAGCCAAGGAAAAGTGTAAGTCACTGGGGACACCTTCAAGAAAGCTCTGTCTTGAATTTTATGATTTATATAAAGCTTGAACCAGAAAAATGTTTATGTATGCATGCAGCTTTATGTGTTTGAATAGTCCCACTGTTGCTAGAATTAAATTATGCTAGATCACGGGTTGTTTTACTCCAGCACATGGCTACTTATGTGTTGCTAGAATCAGAATATTTAAATTATGCTAGATCATGGGCTGTTTTACTCCAGCACATGGCTACTTATTTCCAGTGGACACAAAATGCTGCATTTTAAGGGTTTCCTTACAAGCAAAGGGTATCAGCAGAGCTCTAATGTTTCTGTCTGGTCTCCACACACTCAAGCAGTGTAACTGCAGTGTAACATGCCACTGCTGGGATGGGTGGCTATAAAAATAAGCCAGTTTGGTCTTGGGATCATAATCAAGAGAAAGGAGGACACTGGGATGGTGAGCGTCACAAGTATCTATCACATCTTGCCTTGAGGAAACTAGGGAACAGTCACAGCTGAGCCAGTCTTTCTGTGGGTGAAGGAGGGGGCTGAAGGATGACTCACAGTGGGGGGGAAAAAAAGAAGAAAGTTGTCCCATCAGGATCTCAGGAAGAGGCTGTTTTAGCAAAGAAAAAACCCCACAACATTATCAGGACAAATAGTCTTTCCCTGCAGGTTGTTCAGAAATGACCCCATTTAAGAAGCGCTTACAGAGCTAGCAAACTTGAAAAACAAAGAATAAGTACCCAAAGAAGTGGTGTCAGGAAGCCTTTTTATTTCCACATGCCATTCAGATTCTTTCTCACCATGAGCCCAAAACTGCAGTTTTATCCAAAGCCTCATTTTCTTTTGCTTAAGTATGTCTCCTGAATTTTAACACACTGTGTGCTTCATGCAGCACTTAACTTGCCTAAAATACTGATATGTAAGTATCCAAATATGGATTTGAGAACATTTGAACATTTGGATTTGGAGAACAGCTCCTCCTTTTTTTAGCTATGAAGATGAAGATTGTCTGGCACAGGCAAATCAAAAACGGAGAGAATTCAAAAATGTCATTCATAGTTTAATGTCCAGTTTTAACTATTTACAAGTATGTTTTTGCCATGTCACTCAATTTCTGTTATGCTCCTCTGTTTCTTTTTTGACTCAACAATTAAGTTAGATGATGTTGAATCACCTCAACATTTATGCCTGGCAACAGTCCTTGAGATCACAAGGCAATGATTTCGTTAGTGGAATCAAACAAAAGTGGAAGGAATGTGGGTGTGAGAGAGAGAGGGGAAAAAAAAAAAGCTTTTGTTAAAATACAGATATCTTCTGTGAAACCTATTTAAACAATTATAGCTCTTGCACTGTGATAGCTAAAGGATGTAGGATAAATACCAGCCAAGTTCTTCCCTCACTATAAATATTCTCTCTCTGTCTCCTTTTTCTTTTTTTTTTTTTTCTAAATTGGATGAGGCTTGAAATCTCCTTCAAATTCCTCCTCTTTCTCACCAAAAGGAGACAAGTGATGCAGCACAGCACTCTCATTGACACGGCCAGCAGAGCCGCTTACTGCCTAGCACAGGGAGTTGGCCCTGCAGGCCCTGCAACAGTGTGGCACAGGGCGAGTGACACTGAATACAGCAGTTACCCTTAAAACATTCCCAGTTCCTTTGGTAACTGCATAGCATATCCCGTGCGCAGTAGTCTCTATACTGAAGCTTAGAGGTCATGCGTATTTTGAGTTATAGTTATTTGGTTATCAAAGGTATTGTTGATGGTTCAGATAATGACCGGAATTTTCTATATATAATTAACAGTAGGAGGTGGTGCTTTTTTGGATAATGGGATTTTTAGATGCTGGAGGTTGAAGGATAGCAGAAAAGGGACACACATATGATCTTCCATATTAAGTAGGCTAGTGGTAATGCCCAGGTCACACTCCCATCTCTCACCCTTTGATGTTCAAACCATTCATCAGATATGAAAAGAATGACTGATGGTGATGAAACATTGAGTGATGTCTAATGAGATCACTGGGGCTCTTCAGTCATGGTTTTGACATTTTAATCTTAGCATCCCCCCCAGCTTCTAGCAATTTGATTCACCCTTTTTTGTTTGTCTGCAGCTCTGTGTTCTGCTTGAGAACTGTCCATGACAGAGGGCACAGACAGTCCCGTGTATTACAGATCTACTTCTAATGAGTGTCTGTGTGTGTATTAATTCTCATTAGTTTTCCACCTCTGAATGCCATCCTGCTCCAGGATTCAGCTCACAACACCGGTTTTGTACATTATTGCCTGTCTTCACCTCCAATATTCTTCATGAGGAAGCAGTGGCAAAGTAGTTTGGCTTGGCCTGCCTAGCCACAGTAACTCCTATGTAAACCACAAGACTGCAGTCCTCCCTGGCAGACCTTGGTGACTGCTTGTGCATGCACAGGGGAATCCCTGCCATGTCCATGTGAGACACCAAGCTCCTATATTTGGCAGTTGCTGCAGACAGGCTGAATGGCACAGGACAGATGGACTGACCACTGGACTTGGATGGGACTTCTAGTCCTCACCAGCCCCCTCCAACGCTGCTGTGCAGTGGAGCTACTCCAGCCCATCCTACAGAATGACTGTGGGATTACACATGCTGGTGTCACTGAGGATTAGAAACTGTGCTGTGAATTCCTACCCAGCAAAGATGCTCCTAATGTCTGCATGACTTCTGTACAAAGAATGGTTTGTCCAGATTTATATGAATGACCTATTGCAGACTGAATTAATTCACTACCATGTAAGGAGATAAGAACTGTAGTATGTTGTGTTACTTCCTTCTGGTCATAAAAGGCTGTGACTGAACCTCCCAAAACCATCATGTCTAGGAGAAGGGCCAGAGTTTCTACACCAATAGCATTCCACATCTTCAGATCCCTTGTTATTTTACAAACTTTTCACAACTATCAGACATTGTAATTCATTCAGCTCATCGAGGTATTTCTTTCTGTAGGGGAAAGCAGCTCAAGTTTCTGTTCCTGTAGGGGAAAGCTCATGGTCTGCCTTGTTCTCACAGGCTGCGCCACCCTGCAGGGCCCAGGCGTGCGGCCTTGTTCCTTTCTGACAGCCTGGTTCTGGGCCAGCTTCCTACCAAGGTGGTGTCTGGGCACACTCTAACCCTGTCACAACCTCCTATACCCTTGTGTTCACATAAAAAGAACCTGGCTATTTGGTCCAGACAAGAGTTATGGCCATCCCAAGTTAGATGATAAGTAGAGTGGGACCCCAGGTAGCAGCAAGTCATTAGGTTAAATCCAAACGTCACCTTTGCAATCCAGTAGATACTACTGTGATCCAAACCCTTCCTTAATCTTTCTATGGGAGAGCAAATATATCTGTTGATTTTCCTGGGTCTCAGATTCTTTATCTTTAAAAGGTAAAAATGATACTTAATAGGCTGAGAGCTATAAATGAGATAGGCTGAGATAAATGAGATAGGCTGAGATAAAAATAAGTGCTAGGTTTAATTATTATTTTGGTGGCTTTCGTTTTGTACATCTTCTACCCAAGTTAAGAAAAGACTCCATTTAGTGTATGTCATTTTAATCTTGATTAGTTTCTAGTGTTTAAATAATAGCTTTTGTGACAGATGTAATGTGTCACATTTCCAGGCTTTTAAAGAGGAATAATGAGTCTTGTGACCTTTCACTTTTCAAAAGTCACTCAGCTAATGAACTGTGATAGAGTCCACCACAAAGAGGCATTTCAGCTGGATAGGGCGAGGTAATCCCAGTGTTACATTACATATCCAGTTCACTTTCCAACGATTTATTTGTAAATTCTGCTAAACCACCATTAAAGTTTTTGAGTGCTTGGCTGATAGTAACACATAACCCTTACTGACAACACAGTTCATTTTGAAGCCCAATATAACTAAGAAAGTGAGAATAAATTGGTAGGTTAAGAGGTCATATGTGGGAACCAGTGTCCATCCTTTGTCCAAATGCCAACTTCCAGAGTGCAGTGCTGTCATCCAGCTGATCTTCTTCTCTTTTTCCTGGCTGGCCTGGGCCTTAAAGTAAAACCACCTCTCTGTAGTCAGAGCTGAGCCTGAAAAAAAAAAGAAACTCACAAAAATATCCTTTCAGAAAAAAAGAAAGATTTCTTAAAACCAAGTCCTCCTGCTTTTGCCTTTGTCACAGACAGCACTTCCGTACCGGCACCATCCAGAGCCCCAGGACATTTTACGCTCCAGCACTTAAATGCAATCCAGCTTGATTAGTCCTGCCCTTCCTGTTATCATATGCTGGAATCGTTGCCCTCACCTAGGGTACTTCTTGGGACTCTTCTCTGACAGCAGCATCCCTGTCCTTCCACTGCCATGGCACGTGGGTCCCTAGGAGTTGCACTCTTCACAGTGGCAAGAAAGGATGTAGCGGTAAGTAGCAGTGAGCCTCATGCCACCCGAGCAACGCAACCGCATTGCTTTCAGCTTGGAGGTCTGGGGTCGGCAGCAGTGGCACGTGGAACGGAAAGGCTGCTTCAGGACCGTGCTGAAAGAAACCATCGGCTCCGAGCGCGATGTCTGGCTGCAGCGTCCTTCACAGCGGGCCAGCAGCACCATCTACAAATGAGCAGAGACACATTAGGTAATGCACCACCCTGGCTGTGAGAGCGCGCCTAACTCCATATGTGTAGCTCCTTCCAGCCTGCCTGGTCTTACTTCACTTCAGGCATCTCCCTGCCACGGTGGCAGTACCCAGCTCCACATGGTAGACTGGCCTCAGACACAGGTCTGGGAGAATTCAGAGGCAATATGGACTGACAGGAGGCAAGAAGGGGACTCCTCCTGGAATTGCAGACATCTTGATAAGGAGTGTGGGACCTGCTTTTCTGAAAGCTGACACTGAGGCTCAAGGCAATGGCAGCTCTGTTTTCTAGACACGGTGACTGCGACTGTGACTTGCTGACCCCAGCCAGATACATGGCAGTCAAGTCCTTAAATCATCAGCCAGACTGATACTTCTGTTGGATGTTCTCCAATATATGTATATATAGTAATAACCAGCTGAACTGCTCCTCGGGGCCAGTGAATTCCTGAAATGCTTAAATATGTGAACATACTAAGTAGAAATACAAAGAAAATGCTCAGCTTATTGCTTCTAAAGAAGTAAGTTTCCAGCTCCTTCTTTTGCAAATATCACCTTGAATACTTATTTGTAATTATATATAATTAAGTCTGTATAAAACGTGCCATGCGTAGCATAAAGCAGTGAAAATATAAATCAGTAAGAACTTCTTGGCAAATATGGAAGTTCACCAGTGAGATTTTACAAATATAACACATGCTGTGTCTTTCTTTTCCTCCTGAGTTCACCCAATGAGCTGTGACTGGAATAAAATAACTTACACAACAGGAGGAACTAAGGAAATTTCATGGGGTATAATTTGCTTCCCTTCCTAACAATCTCATATTGAGCAGTGGTGATGGCTAATGTTTCCTCATCTCTATGTAAAACATGGAAAGGAAACTCATCAGAGGAGGTGTTTAGAAACACCTCTTAAGACCTTCTAGAGATGAGTGTTTAGGAGTCTTAGACAAACTGCTGTACATCTTAATGGAGAATGAAATATTGGCTAATCCAGATCAGCCAATTTTGTTTAACCAACACAAATTCTAAATTCAACTTATTGTATCATACAAACGAAGTAAAAATATCACTGAAGTGAGAAAGCAGAGAATAAAAATGTGGTAGCTCTGATCCTGTAGCCAAGGAGTAAAATTACATTTTAAATGTCTTGCACACGTGTCTTAGGGTCAATGACAGCAAATATTTTGCAATGTTAAACACTTCTGAGATCCATTCACTACACACACTTAACTGGCTAAAAATCACCACGTCTTGCAGCTTATTAGGCCAAATGTTTAATTTTCAGAAGCACTCTTCATTAGGCAGAATCATGAGAGAGAAAGAGAGAATAGTCTTGGTATCAAGTAGAAAATATCAGCATTGCCTATGTCCTTGGCAAAGGTACTGATTGCCCATAAAGAACAGTACTTTGTGCAGTGTTTAAAAATGACTCATTCAAGTCATGTATGCTAAATGGATTGCTTTGAATTGTGTTAGAATATTAGCAAATACACTTGCATTTAACATTAAGCACAAGGAAGATGTCTTCATGAGTTAATCATCACGCTTTGGTACCATCTTCTTCCTCAGTTAAAGAGATGAACTCTTGTGGATCTTCAGTAAATTTGTCATCCTTCATGACTCATAGCATAAATTTATTGTCACTTTTCTGTGATGCTGCCTATTCATAAGCAAACTTGCTACTGTGTTAGGTTAGTAGTAAAATGGTGAGAAGGAAATTTCAGTCTGCTGTTCAGTCACACCCCAGCTTTTCAAGCAACAGCTATGTCAATCTACTTAATATCAGCATAGTAGATATATATGCATACAGTAACTTAATATATACAAGAACACTGGAAGTTGTGATTATTTCAGTTACTAACACCCAATTCCTAAGAGAGAAAGAGGCACTTACATTCCCTGCATAAACAAAACCCTTTTCTCATAGTGGTAAACAGGAAGCTGATGAAGACTTACATCGGTATCTAACTCTGCATGTATAGAAAATGAAAGATTTTCTTTCTGTGTGTATAGAAAATGAAAGGGAATTTAGTACATTTAAAACAATTAGTTCCGTTCACCACATCTTGTTGGCTTTCATTAGACCCCTGCTTTGATGTGTTCACCAAACTCTTACTACTGTGTTTCAAAGACTATTCCCAAGTGCTTGGCTGGAGAGGAGGATAAAGAAAAATCAAGTAGCAGCCTACAACACCTCAAAGGGGCTCACAGAAGCAGGGGAGCCAAACTCCACTTAGCAGTGACAGATGCTAGAACAAGAGCAGCAACCACAAGTTGCCATTTGGGGAGCGCAGAAAACCTCCAGAAGTCCCTTCCAAACAATAGTTTGCTGATTCTGTGATTTCAGCCCAACAAGACATCACAAGTTGCTGATGAAGGTAATATGTAGTGGTTGATGATTCTGGAACATTCTAGTACTCTAATTGTAAGACCCTTTGATGCCACACATCTACTCCTGTGTTTGCAGATACTATCAACCTCTCCGTTCACCCTTCAGAAAACAAGGAGCATGACTGAGCGCTGCAGAAGAGTTGCAGAAGTATAATTAGAAGGCAAAATTATCTGATGTTTCTATATCTATGCATCACAATGGATTTCTTACTAACAGCAAGCTTTCTTCTGCAAAAATAGTCAATATTTTTTCAATATGCCACTGAGATTATAATTGCATGGTAAGCCTTGTCTTTAAAAATGGATTTCATTCTGTGAGGACCCTAATTATCTCAAATTGTGCTGGCTACTTAGTTTTTCATAAGAGGATAGCGAGTATTAATCTCATGTAAAATTACCGTGAGCGTTGGTTTTATGCCCTATTTTTCAATTAGAGTGTAAATTTTTACATGTGGCATTGCACCATGGGTAGCATGTCAATCTTGAGGATTAAAAATATTTGCACTTCCTATTTTGATGGCTTTCTAAACTTCTGGACTAACCTGAAGTCCTCAGCATAGCTTAACTCATAAATCCAGAACACCGCCAGCAGATTCTGGCAGGTGTGCAAATGAGCTGGAAATAGCATGTACTTTGAAAGCTTTGCTTTGCCATTTAATCAATCGCACCAGCTGTTTATTGCATCGTATACTATAGCGGAATAGAGATTATCGCCTAAATAATTAGTAATGATATGATGGCATAGCACAGTAATACAGTAAGTGTATATATAGTAAAAATGTGTGGGCATTTTATAACCTGATATCTATGCCTCTTTGCTCCCCTCCTCCCCCAGGCATATAAGCCTGTGCATGTCACCTTGTGATGCTATTCCCGGAAGTACAGTACAATGCCGTGTGGGAACAGTGGGGAATTCCTGCTCCCCACTGCAGCGGTGTTTGGCCAGCTAAGAAAATACATGTTCTTATTGGAACACAGAAGTCTCTGAATAGGTATCTGAATGGCCAGGAAAGACAGTATTTCTTATAACATCTTAGACTTAGAAAACTTTTGACTCTAATCACTCAAGCCACAGTCTAGAAATTTAGAAGTGATGAGCTGGTTTGTTATTATTATTGTTTATCGCTCTCTTTCTTGCACTCATTAGCAACTGGCTGATGTGCTGAAATAAAGGAGAAGAGATTTCCACAGAGTATTCATGGCCTGGCTGCAAGCAGGAATTATGGAAAATCTCACGAGATAACCCCATTCCTTATTAGTATCTTCAAAATATTCACTAACTCTCTCCATATAGTAAGTCTCTCCCTGTATTCTTTACTCCTAGGCTGTCCATTGTAGAATTCTTCTGGCACATCTGGAGGAAATACTTGTGACAACCAACACTGTAATCCAGGAGGCTCTGAACGCAGAGGCAAGGCGACCCAGCACATTGAACACCAGCAGGCCTCTGTGACAGAGGTCAGGCAGGATCCAGCAGTGGTCAGGGAAGACACTACCTTACGAGCCGACACAAATACTTCCTTTAAGTCAACGGAGAATACTTTTTTCAGGAACAAATTATCCACTTTCTTCCCTCCTTCATGTCTCTTTTACACACTCAGTTACTATAATGGAGTACATTTCCAACGCCTTTTCATGTTTGGAAGCCTGATTTCAACATCTGCTTGAGGTCACAAGCAAGAAGGATTTGATTGTAAGAAACCTTGTTCCCAAGGGGGTACAACTGGCAGTCTCCACAGAGAAGTACGGTGGGTATAATCCTTTTTTAACCAAGATGGATGGCAAATATAATATGGCTTAAAATTTTTGAAGCCACTTTTAATTTCTGTAATTCTATGCTGCACTAAGAGGGGAAAATACAGAGTGAAAAAGGATGGCTTTGTAGAACAAATGCATCATACCAAAAAAGGGCAAAGCCTCTGCTTCACATAAATTATCAGTCCTAGCTCCACAAGGGAAACTCAGTGGAAACAAGAGGTAGCACAGCTTCCACAGCTAATCCAACAAACCCTTCTCTTTTTTGATTTGTTTATGTTTTATCACAGTATATTTAGGAACGGACACTGTGGATAATTTTCGTTAGCAAGTGTAATACTGATCTGCGTTTATATGCTAAATCCAGCAGATGATTCAGATCCCGGAGATCTTTTTTTTTAAAAAAGGCTTGGTTTAACAAACAGAATTTTTCTAGGATAGGTCAAAACTATTTGATGCTGTACAGAAACTGTTTTTATTTTTCACTTCATGAGAAAGTCCATTTATTACTTATGAGAAAGTATCTACTATTAAAAGAAAATCTTGAAGCTATTGTAGAATTTGAGAAGCCAAAAGATGTGATTTTTTTTTGAACATCATTTCCACTAAATGCGTGATTTTTAAAATGTTATGGACACTTGTGCAGTTAATTTTCATGTCAGCAGTTTCATTTTCTCAGCGCTCTGTTTTGAAATAATCTGGTTTCCATTAGAAAACTCTCCTCGTGTTTATTTCCATCGGTTCCTCTCCTAAAGGCCTGACTGCTTTTCTCCATCATTGGGGATGCTAAGAAATTAAGTTGTCGGTGAATTTCCATCCCTCCTTCCTGGCAGGTGGGAGGGTGATGGCCTGCAGGGGAGGAGAGGCCTGGGCCTAGGAGCACCTCCACACTCCCAGGCTTGAATTGCCTTAGGAACTAGGCTGGGAACTGCTGTGCTGAAAGGCTTCTGCCTGAGGCAGCATACCCAGAGCAGTGCATTTCTCACAGCCCTGATAAAGCTGCCATTTGGTACTCCTTTGCTCCTCTGGGTGCTGAGGGCAGAGGGGCAGCCTCCCCAAAGCTAGGGCTGCAAGGCTCTGCAGGGCCCAAACGGGGCCACCTGCCATTCTCAGGCCCACAAACAGGGCTCCTCCTGCCCTTGAGCAGGGCAGGGAGCAGAGACCAAAGGGCATTGCCCTCCCCAGCCGAACCTTCACAGTAGCAATGGTGTTTCCCTTGCAATAGGTGATCTGAACAGCATGGGGAGAGAAGGGCTGCTACCATCCACCTACAAATACAGAAAAATCACCTCCACCATCCCCACTTTTCACTACTTGTAGTCAAATCAATATTGCACAAAAACAGATGCATTTCTGCAATCATGTATTTTAATGATGGATGTTTCCCAGATGGCAAAAAGGCCTAGTTCAGGCCAAAAGCAAGAACAAGGTCTCTCCCGAATTGCAGGTTATGTGTGCTTTTATTGTTTGAATTCAAAAGTAGTAGGGAAAAAGCCTCCCATCACACACCCTTGAGAACTGGGAGTGATTCTGCAAAGCCAGGAGGGCAGTACTGGTGTGAAACCCATGTAAGCAAGACCAGAATCTAACTTTTCCCTGTGTCCATCATGCACAGCCACTGCAGGAACCATATTCCAGCAGCCATCCTGGCAGCACAAGGGAGCCCAGAGCACTGACGGGTTATTATTTTCTGCTGAGGTTTCTCTCTATGCTTTATTTTAAATTTCATATGCTACTAATGCCAGTCGTAGTACCTCATCCCTGCACTGATCAAAGAATTCACTCTGTCCGCAAAGGCATTTGTGCAGAGGATGAAGGTCTTTGCCGTCATCATCATACCTGTGTTAGCTGCATAGGCACCCTCTGCTCTAAAATGCTCCCTGACTCATTGATGCTGTTTTTGCTACTGGACAAACTGCAGTCAGCCTCCCCGTCCTAAACCTCATCACACACCCACGGCCTGCAGCTCTCGAAATAATGCAGAGCTGGAAGAAGCGTTAGCCATTCACTCGCGTCTGCTTTTGTTAATCTAGGGAACTGTGTGAATAAGGCAATTCACCTTCCACAAGGCAGAAGGATGGTCAAAGCTGAGACTATGCATTTGAATACTCACTGGGTTAACTCAGTCAGAACAAATTAGGACAAGAAAAAAAGGGACCAGTAGAGATTTTCCCCATTGTTTGTCTGCATTCTTTTTCTCCACACAACGAAATCAGTGACTGTAGGCTACATATGCAGGCTACTAAGCCTTTTTGACAAATTTTTTTTCAAGCTTGAAATCTCAAATGAAAGGCAATTTTGTGTTTCCTTCTGCTCTAAGCCCCAAAGTAAACATCCCAAATGACATTCTGCATGAAAACAAAGATCTTGATACTAAACTGGAAAAAAAAGGCAACATTTCTCACATTATCCTAAGCATTTTACAGCTTCCTTCTTTAGCCCAGCACATACCCAATGAAAAGCTTTAAATTTATGCACTCCAGCTTAAAGACTCACATGAAGGAATCAGCTGACTGGGATGATCTGAGGAAGCCCATCTCCTTGGTGCACAGCAGCCAAGAGTCAAACTTCTTTCTTTTAATCTTATAGTTTATTGCATGTTAGTTTTACATCACTGATCTCTGTCTCCTTTTGAAAAGGTGAAAAGACTCATGAGACTTTTTCTCTCCCCACATTTCTGACCTATGCATCCAGATGTCTGTGTAACTATGGATTTGTATTTTGGTAGCAAGGATTTAGAGGTGATTAAATAACATGGCTTTTTTTCCAGGCTCTACTAATGGCAACATCCTCTTTACAGAAGATGAGAGGAGTCCTTACCTTTGAGCTACACTTGTACAGCGGGTGACTGATAGAGTCGACGTAGTGATGCCTCATACAGCGACTGGGGTCTGAGTCGATCATGAAGGCACTGTCTGTTTTACTGTCCGCATCTCCCATTATCGCCAGGAGAGAGAGCATGGAAATTGAAGCTGCGAGTACATGATTTCCCATCGTTGAACAACTTCTCAGTGATAACAGCAGAGGGAGATAGAGTATTAAAAAAACTCTAGATATTGAGATCCCATTCCTTTCCAGGATAGTGAAAAGTCAGGGTTAGTTCTCTTAACCGTCATTCTTCTTGAGTTAGAGTTTGTTGAGATTGTAATCCATCAAAGAATCTCCTGCATAGCTGGAATAAAAATAACGTAAATTACAATCCTGACCAAAAAGAACACTAGAGAAAAATAGACATAAATAATAATAAGGCTCATAGGATTTTTGCTAGCCAAAATACACTTTCTGAGTGAACATCATTCGCACAGCAGGTACAGTATATGGAATTAGGAAGGAGAGGTCAAGGCCTTGTTGGTTTAACCACTGTTCTATCATTTTACTAAGGAGAACATTTTAACACTTCATACTATAGGCATTGTAATACCAGTATTTTAATTTGATGATGTGCCTAATGGATTCCCATTAAACTGGTGATTTGTAACAGATCAAAGATTCTGCAAACTGTAAGAACTGTATATTCTCTCCAAAATGTTGGCAGGCACATTCATTGGGACATAGGTCGACCACTTCCTCTATTAAGGGTGGGGATTTCTGACCTAGGTAACAGATGGGGATGATAGAGGTAGTTGATCCTGGTTTTCTAGGGACGGCATGCCCGTCTTGCCCCACCACGGTGCTGGAGGGATGAGGTGTGGGCTCAGGGCGTTGGGACAAGAGGCCAAGCCAAGTCGCACAAACACCTTAGACTCTCAGAAAAATCACTCAACACCTACTGGTACTGTGCCGCATAGGGCTCTTACTCCCTTGCTTTCCTGAATAACAAATCTACACCCTAAAACTCGCTTACTCTTCACATCACACTTCCTGAGTTTCCGTTTCTTTCCCATTAATTAAAGAGCAGGATCTGAAAAATACATTATATTCCATAGTATCTAAGTACACTGCACCTCTCAGTTGGGAAAACGTGCAGATGGAGTGCCAGAACTGCCAGTTAGTCATTTTGGATTTCTGGTGCACTTTCTGGAAGCCTGCAGACGTCCCCCAGCAAACAGACCCAAGGCCACCATGGAGAGGCTCTGTGGAGCTCTGTGCTGACATGGAAAGGAGGACACTTCCCTGAGCTTCTTCATCCTACACCTGTTAGCTGTTCTTACAAGCTAACAGTCTGAAATGGATCATCTAATTTTGCTTTTACTACAAACAGCTTTAGCCTGAAAGACCTGTGAGCTACCCATCTAAATATAACCTCACAAAACAAAGAACAGTCGTAAGTAAAGCTAAAAGCAGGAGGTCTCTCAGAAGAAACAGATGATAAACTAAGTTTACAAGCCATGCAGAAATAGTCTCCCAGAGCGTCTTGACTATTTAAAGAGATGATGTGTGTCTTTGCCTTATACAAGCCTCTTTCAAAAATGTTTCCTGATTTGCTGGCAATATTTTAGCACGACTGATACTCATCTCCAAAACAGCCTGAAATTACGAGGCCTCCCCACCAGAGAGCTTAATGATTTGTGGATTGCTTTGTAGCTTGCTCAAACACTTTTGTAAGACGAGTGCATAGCAGTGATAAACAGTTCCAGAGTTCATCCAAGCTGGGAGTCAGGAGTTGTCAGGCTGAAGTGACATACAAGGTTTCATGCTGGGAAGAAATGTAATTAGCGATGCTCTGTGTATCAGACATTTGTAGAAGCCTTTTTTGGGTTTAAAACTATTGTCCACATGCCTCAATAGAAAAACAGTGTGAATGTGTATTTAGGGGACAATATTTTTTTTAACTTGAGTCTGGGCTGTGACCTGGATATTTTTTAAATATTTAGGATCACAAATCCTTTTGTTTAGTCTCATGGATCTTAATAAATATTACTCTAAACCAGATAAGACAAAAATCTCAAATGCAAGAGACCTTGGCCTGAATCCTTCATAGGACAGAAATGCAAAGTTGCATTTCTTGAAGATGATGCCCAAGCATTAGTTAACAGAAGGAGCAATGCACTTTTTTTTCCTTCCATATTTTAACCTTTTGCCTACATTCTCATTCTTCTGTACAAAGAGGCTGACCAGAACACTCTGCTTGGCAAGGACTCTCTCCAGCATAGTTAACCAATATTACACACCCAGTAATTCCTTCTCCATCCAAATAAATGCACTCGATATGTCATGTTCTCATCTCATTTGACTTTATAGCTAAGCATCCCCATCTCCTATTCTATTTCTCCCAGTTTAATTTTTGTTTCTAATTCTTTGCATGGTTTTGACCAGATTGATTTAACCTAAATAGAGTGAGAGAAATGTGGAGTCCTGCTCAATTTTCAAAGGCATATCTTCCTGTTTTTTTCAGCAAATAATTAGATAACACACATGAAAACACTTTGAAAAGTCTGGAAGGAAGCAGAAAAAGAAAAAAAAAAGAAAGCAGCCGTAACCTTATTTTGGATTAGCATAGCATAAAATCTGTACAAAAAAAAAAAAAAAAAAGTACAGCCTCATGATCTTTTCTAACAGTCCTGATACTTACACAACAAGAAAAGCAGTAAAATAAATGTAGTAGGCCTTGATAACAAAACTACAGAAGAAAACAAGAATATGAGAACATATTTGCTAGCAAAAAGAGAGCACACAAAGGTAAATGTGGCTCACCTTTCATGAAAAAGTTGTATTGAATTGTTGATAGACGTATTGACAAAATGAATGTGTAGGTACTGGAAAGAGGAAAGCAGAAAACACTGGTCTTTGTAGGTTCTCGTTGTCTTCTGACATAGCTATGTGTGTGCATGTGCATTTTTCAAGTAAAGGTATACATATACCATATATAATTTAGCTGTTTTAAACAAAAGAGTCTTACAGGGTTGCTTAAATACTTTAAAATCAGTTTGGATTTGGAGCAGGAAGGATTTGTCCTTCTTAATCAGGATCAGATGTCTAAATATTTTCACTCAGGTTCATCATCATGATTAAGTATATTGACATGACATTTTCCATTTCCAGTTGATATATTACAATAGCATTTCATTTAAAATTAATATTTTTAAGCTTGTTTTCCTTCTGAAATACTATCCGAAATTATAAAATCCTAAATGATACAGGATATCAGGAGTAATAGAATCCTTATGGTTGGTAAAGACCTTCAAGATCATCGAGTCCAACTATATCTGTTTATTTGTATACATCTGTACCTTCCAGTATATATTTGCACCTTCCAGGATCTCCTACTGACCAAAAGAAGAAACAAGCAAATCTGTAATTGATAACCACTGTAGCTGTATTTAGGATGACATTTTGTGTTCCAGCTGATTTGGAAAATACACTTCGTATTCTCAGGCTTAAAATTGACTAAAGGATATTTGGCCTAATGTTAGATAAAAATCACTACTTGCCATTGTTACAGAATTCATTGATATGGCTATTACATTATGATATTAAAATATTTGTGATGCACTTTCCCTAAAATTAAACTTCATGAATTTATATGAACACAACATGCATAAAGCTGTTCTATCTACCTGACTTGTAGAGAAGAACAGAAGAGATCTTAGAGAAAGACCCTATGAACATGTAATCAGCAGCTGTATTGCACTTTAATGTAAGGTCAGACTTAAGGTTATTTTTCCAATTTTGTATAATAATTAACTGTTTTGTAAATGCTGAAATAAAGCTTTCTTATCATACTCAATATTATTAGTTTAGATAGCGTTGGAAGTTAATGTCTTGCTTTGCTTTCAGGACAGAAGAGAAATTCCATCATCTGGAATTATTTAGCCAATGACTCTGTGAGAACGTAAACAGAAATTCCCTTTTGCTATGTATCTTGGAAAAAATAAAGACCCGAGGAATTCTCCTAAAGTCTATTGGATCTGCACAGCTTTTATGCTGGAAGATAGAAAGGGAACAATGGAAAAGCTCATTCATGGTGTACTTTTGTTTTGCTGTTTCCTGTCCACAAGCCCTAAAAATTAGGCATGCACGTATATTCAACTTGGCCTTCATTTCCTGTGTATTTTCCATGTTTGAGAGTCCTGCTTGATGATGATGGTGCAATTCAATTCACTCAATGTCTTTTATGTTTCAGAAGCTGCCAAAATCCAGTTGGAGCAGCAGCGTGTATATATAACTAAGCCTGGCCTTGCATGTTGTTCATATTTAGTAAACACAATTAGATCCTACCATGTGCTTCCTTCATTCTGAATTTGCTGTGTAAACAGAAAAGTTACAACACCACTCAGAGTTTCTCTGAACTCCAGCTGTAAAGAAAGTGTCGCTAACCTTATATACATGTATGTAATTGATCTTTATGAAAATGAAATTGACCAACTTCTGAATAACTTTATCATATCTCTAAAATTTTATGTCAGAAAGTTTATAATTTGGATGATTTTTACTTTCCTAAACTGGACCAGAATGCAAAATGTGTTGGTCAAAATACACTATCAGGTTATGTCACAGTTCATTCTGGCAGGATTAAACTCTACTTCAATGCAAAGGGCTACAAAAGTGGGCTGGGAGGCCAGGGAGACACTGGCAGTCCCAAGCCCCACAGCCATGGGCATGGGTAGTGCCCATACTGTCAGCTGCTGCCTCCTGGCCCACAGCAACCTTATCACTCTGGTCCCTGGATAACAAACCAGAGCTTTCAGGGACCTCAGAGAAGCACCATTTCAGCCCTGAAATGAGTTATCAAGGCCTCAGCTCTACAGTGGGTTGCAGGGTCCTGTGTGCAAAGCCACAGCTTGGCCACTGCTGCAAGAAGCCAGTGGCAGCAGGACTGTCTTTTCACTAGCACTGTCCTTCCAGCAGCTACATCCTGAAGATGGATATTATTCTTCGAGTGCACAGCCCTTGTTTTGCTCTAAGACTACGTGTCCAGTGGGAAGTTAAACTGCTATGGAGGGGCTGTCTGGCCCTGCAGCGGGGTGGCATGGAGTAGCCAGCTCCCAGGCAAGTAGCTGCTCTGCACAGCCCAATATGTCTTCCAGCACATACATACTCCCACACCATGCTCGGGAGCGTCTTGGGAAGCACTAGGTGCTGTGGGACAAACTCACGTGAGTGGCCATCTGAGCAATTTAGCAGAGGAGATGACAGCAGAGGAGTGTAAGTTTGTAGGAACATTTCTTGGAAGAGACAACCTAAAACACTCTGCCTGATCCTGCTTTCACATAAATGGACTGAGAAACTTTATCAGCTCCAGTGGATATTTTAGTTCTGTAAATGAATGTGATCATCTTCCCATTTAGTTATTTTACCACAACCATTTCTGTTCCAGCAATGAATAGTGTGGCCTCTTATATTTGCATTCAAAATCCATGCCCCACATGGCAGTCCCCTTTTGAAATACATGACGAAGCTGCTAAACATGAATGTGGCAACCAAAAAGTAACAGGTGAAACTGACGAACTCAAGTTTGTTTATAAAATGTCTCCATGCACATTTCAAATGGACTACTTCCCCTCCCAAGACAGGGCAAATACCAAACTAAATATTTGAGTGTGATCCTTGCAGATCTAAAGCAGTGAAATGCTTCCCTGAGGTCTTGTTGTGCTAAATGAGCGTTTGCCCTGTTGACATACAGCTGTGCTGAAGCTAGTCCCCTTTGACATAAGGAAGAGTTTTATCAGCTATTACACGGGATGCTTCTGAATCCAGCCACAGGATCGTGGGCCAGCATGTGCCCGGTGAGTGCTGGGGGACCAGGCGGTGAGAGGCTGTTTTTGTTCTCACTGTGCTGTGCTGAGGGTGTGAAAGTAATTTGCATCCTGCTGTGGTCCCCCTGGGCAATCGACCCACCATGTAACATTGGATTGGGTCTGCCGGTGCTCCTCTTCCCTGCCCTGAAACCCACACTATTGCTCTCTGCTGCCTCATGCCATTGCTCTGCAGCCCTTGCCATTGCTCACCAACCAGTCTGAAGGTGACCTGTCACCATCCCGAGGACAGCGCTCTGCCTGCCCATCTGTCTTTGGTCAGAGGAATTGCCCTGAGCAACCCCAGCAGTGGCCATAGTTGCTGTCATGGGATGGGGTGACCACACTCACATGAGTAAGCAGGCCCAAAGGGAAACCAGGGCATGAGCTTCTTCCACACTGACCCACCACATTGATTTTCACACCCAGAGCATGAAAGCAGTGCGAGGCTGCAAAGGGCAGGAAAAAAGGGGCAGGCAGCTCACTCCAGGCCAGATTTGGTGATAACTTCTGGGCAATGGGGGACGGGGGAAGAGAATAGGCAGACGAAAGGAAAAGGGACTTAAACGAAAGGGCTTAGGCCTCTGAGTGTCCACAGAAAAAAAGCCCATCTTCTAGTCCTACCAAGGTCTTACAGCTTGCCAGCTGACAACTGTAGAGTATTGCCCCTTAAAAACCAAGATGAGAAAATGGGCACAGCCTCTGAACAAAAAGAAATGTCAAACACGCTTTTGGTCATTCAGAGAAACTCATATGCATCATTTACTACTCTGAGGTTTTTCTAATGTTTTAATGTTTCAGGAGGTAAATATTTGAGCCTGCAAGAAGACTGAAAAAAAAAACAGGAAGATATTGATATGCAAAACAAAACATAAGCAGCAATTGCAGCAAATGTGATACAAGTCTCCACTGCTGACTGCAAACTTGGGTGCAGGCATGGGACGAGCCTTGACTTTAACATGGTTGCTTATGTAAGATCATGAGTCTTACAAGACTGAGACCCACTGTGCAAAGTGGAACACATTAAACTGAACAGCCATTGAGCTGGCTGAGCTTCATTCTCCTTTTGAAGTTTTCAAGAATATTTCCTGCCCTTCAGGCAGCAAAAAGAATGGGGGGAGAGTTAATCATGTGATTCTACTATGATGTTGAAATAATAAACTGTAATAGGCGCTGCAAGCTGGCACTCTGCCAGCAGATGGGCACAGACAAAAATGGAGAAAAGGTTTTAATATGCTCAAAAATAATAACTATTGGTGGACAAAAAAGTGCTTATATTTTTATTCTTTACTTTTCCTAGTGCCAGGAAACTTTAAATAGATCCATTAGAAGCATGTGTAGTATCTTGCTGAGGTGTAACCAGGAACTGGTAGAGCTTTGTTAGGAACCCTCAAGCCACTGAATGGAGAGACGATGCAAACTTTGGAGTCTCTCTTTATTTTTGTGTTTTACTGAGTATCAGAGCAGTCCTAATTCGAATATGGGACAGGAATTGACAGAAATACTGTTTTGCTTTTTTTATCCAAATTCGCTGGATAACATCAACTCTCAGTGAAGAATCATATGCAGAGCTCAGTGTTTTAAGTAATGACGTTGACTCTCTCTCTCTGGCATTAAATCAACATGATAGCCACTAGGTAAAGTGCAAATATTCCCAGGCAAGCATTACCTTTAGGACTTGCTTCAGTAATTACCTCTACTTTAGTCTTATGACCCAACATAGGACAAAACGACTGTTGGCCAGATTGCAAGTTGCTGAGGAGTCTAGGGCATTAGAGCATGTGTCCTGTACCACCTACTGCAGTGCTTTACAAATAGGTGGGCATTTTTCATTCTTTGTCTCATATTAGGTTGCATGCCTTGCAGTTGGAGGTTGCTTTAATGCATTTCCTCGAGAACGCAAGTAGCTGTAGTTATCATTAGTTGTAGGACTAGGAATGAGCCTCTTACTCTTTAAGTATTAGGCAAAGACATCCCACCCACCAGTATCAGTGGAGAGTGCTACAGAGGTTGGTGAGAGCACATGACTTAAGGGGATGTTGCCTCTTTTCTGACCCTAGGGGTGAAATTCTCTCTTACTTTTTACACAGTTGAAATTCAGACCAGTGTGCATGCACTTCTGCCTCTGATAATTATGACCTGAACATGTGGCTCATGGTAATAATTTTCTATCTTCTAACAAGGGGAACAGTGCTCCCCTAGGTCTCACTCTCTTTGAGCTGTGCTGCTATGACAGTAATGCGATTGTCACTGCCATGGTATGCTTAACCTTTGCCAAACCAGAGCTGAGGCATTAACTCAGATCCTAAACTCACATGTCTTAAAGGGCAACATAACCTGTGCTGCCTCCTCACTGCCATACTGACACAGTTTGCAGCTCAGTAATAGTAAGCACGAAAATGTGACAAGCATAAACCATAACAATGATTGATGCAAATCAAAAAATAACAAAGAGTAGTTGGAAAATAACAATGCTGTGGAATTCCTCAGAGCTGTGTCTCCATGGCATCAGCAGCCAAATACTGTGATACCGGAAGAAAGACTACACTCGTCGGTGGTAGAAAGGATCTCTGCACGACACAATGAAATTCCAGTAAATAGGACAAGCACTGATGGTGTCTCAAAGTGGTAGTGCCACTGCTACCCGGATAATAGTCTGAATTAGATTATGTGAAAAAAGAAGGAATATATAGACTGCCAGCTGCTCAAAGGCTTACTACAACCTTGCTTTTATTGTTCTGCTAAGTTAGAGGTGGGGCATCAGAGGGATTCCAAACATACCACTACTGAGAAATTTTAATATGTTCCACACTGACACATATAAAAAGGAAATAACAGCTGATCATAGTCAGCACAGACTATAACATCCCTTCATACACATGCACAAATCCATGGGCAAAGTGGAGTGATCTTGGCCAAAGACATTCTGGCAAATGAACTAATTGACAGTGGCCACACTTTTCTCTTGACTTGGAGCTGAATTTTAATGAAAATCCTGTTAAGTGGGCAGTAATGAAAGACAGCAGAGAAAAGGTGAACTGGACACATCTTCTCACCTCATCCTCAGACACCAGAACTTAGAGAAGGACAGGGGAGCTGAGAGGCTGCACATTTAGCACTGATGAGAAGAAACATGTGTTTACACAACCGACAATGATCCAAAGGAACAAGATACCATGAGAGCAAAAGCTGAGTGGACTCAGTGAAAGGACTGGCTACATATGTGAGGGCTACAATAGTAAGGGGGGTTATTTTTAAGAGTTCTGGAAAGGTTATAAACTCCAAAGACTCTGAGAGTTTAATTGATGGGGTTAGGGAAAAATCTTTCATGACAGCAAGGTCCCCCGTAGGTTCCTACCACAGTGTTTCTCTATCTGGCTTTGAGGTGACCACTTCTAGCCACACTCAGAAGCAAGTTACTCAAATACATAGGACTGTGTGTGTTTTTATGTAGAAAAACTTTTCTAAAACTCATAGAGACAGATCTTTCCTGATAACTGCCAATGCATTAGAGGCAGAGAAATTTGTGATATTTGTAATACAACAATCCATATAGTTGTAACATTTGAAACAACTGTAGAGTTTTAAAAAGTGTTTTTTCCTATTTATTTCAATTAAATAAACAACTCACCAGGCTTTTTGCAAAAACAGACATCTTTGTGGCTTTATCCTGTCTCTACACTGTAGGCATTCAGCTCCTAGGTCCAAGAACAACCCAGAGCACTTCCTAGCTCATCTGAGAGCAAACAAATTAGGGAAGAAATATGGTGAGACTCAGGGGAAAGAGGGAATGAAGCTGACTACACGAGTACTCCATGTCTGGTGGTTCACTGCGGACACTGCTGTGATGTACTGTGGTGGTGTCTAACTTCCCTCCCTTCAGGGCAAAAGCTACTGCAATCTTGGCAACTAAAACTGGCAAGAATATTCAGGTGGCTTCAGAAGTCGGGACTGTTCTGGTGGGGCAGGTGGCTGTTACAGGGCCGTGCTTAGAGAGCTCACTGGAGCTCTCTAGGCAAACAGGACACAGGGTTGTCTCTACATCAGGTTGATATGCTGCTCCGGAATCTCCTACATACCTACATCTACATAAAAATGGCTGCTGCCCCAAAGCAGAGAATCACCTTCAAGCAGTGATCTGAGCTTATATTTATAATAATCAGCTACAACCCCTAATTATATCTATTAACTAAATTACATTTCATTTTCTAAATTTGAAGCAACATCTTCTATTCCATCCTTGTTTTCTTTTAATGGAAAAATCTTAAAGCATCTTTGTATAATATCTGTATTGCAAATAAGATTTTATTATTCCAGTGAGAGTATGCCAACGCATAAGTCACACTGGCAACCTCTGATTGAAACTGGTAAGCAATTACTCACCAAATAGTTCCCTTTTAGTCAAGGGAATTATTCATGTGCATAACTGCACACAAATATGGGTAAGGTCTCACAGCCTAGACAAACATGAGCATCATTAACAATTCAAAAAAAAAAAAGTCCTAAAAAGTAGTCTTTCTTCTGAGGAAGGACAAATAACAGCACTGTGATTATTATATTGACATTTATTGATCCCACCCCATTTATTGACCTGAGGTATCTGGGCTGCTTCCATTAGGAAATAACTTTACAGGGCAGAACTGTTTTGAAAAGAATTTATACTCATTGCTGATTTAAAAATAATCTTCTAATTGTTTTATTTCCATATGCAATTTTCCCACCTCTTAGCCACTAGGACAGAGTTATGAAAACTTAGAAACTATTATTAACACCTAGAACTTATAAAATACTTCTTCACCTTCAAAAAGTCACAGAAACCGTAACAAGTTACTTGTCATGCCATCTCTCTCAGGTACAAAGCATTCAGATGTGCTATAGGCAGATTGTGGGAGAAGTTTAAATCAACTTGAAGGACCAGATAAGAAATCTGTCTGCCAGTGTCACTAGAGTCAGTCCTTGAAAGAATCAGTCCTTCGAATTCAGCCACATTAAAATTACCCCTCAGCACCCATTCTGTGGCACTCTGGAACCAGATCATTTAATTAGCATAACACAAACACAGCTAAGACTCCTCTTTACACAATTCATCTTGTTACTCTGATTCTTGCTACTGAACTCACCGATTTAAACTCACAGAGGACAAATCCGCTCACCTGACTCTTGCTGGGGAGATGGGGCTTTCCTCCTCCTCTGTTTTTCCCCAGGACTGCGTCCGTTCCAGTGAATTGCATTCACACTATACTCTGATACGTTATCTCTTGGTTCATAACAGAGAAACTCTTCTTTGTCCCGGTGACACGCAGAATAGTTGTGCTCGTGCCTCTTGCACTGATACACAGGGAAATGTCCTCCTGGCAAAGAAGGATTTAAGGACACTGAAAGGCTCCCTGTCTCCTTCAGCAGGCGGTCTTGAGCAGCATCCCTCCGCGTAAGCTCCCAAATTCATATCCACGCTGCAGTATATGTGGTACTGAAGGGGTAGGCTACCTATAAATATACTCCTCAGCATTACAGGAAAGGCAAACGCTGTGGCTTTCCTTTAAGTTTTTAACCAATCAAAGACATACATTAAATCTATGCTAATCTACAGTGCTGTCCAGTCCATAGTAAAGCTTCCCAGAAGTTTGGATAAATAATAATGTGCAAATTAAAAGTGCTTTTGTGAAGCATGACACACAAAGCTAGAAATAAATATTGCCTATTGTTTCGAATTATTCTAAGCACTCCAGCAGATGACTGGCAAGAAAACAGCATACATAAGTAGCAATAAAAGTAAACAGTTCAATTTTAAACTAGCAGGCTTGCCTGTGTTCATAGAGCCCTATTGTAGTGGGACAAAGACAGTCCTGGAGACACTCGCATTCTTTCTATGAATTCAGGACAGAATCCAGCACTTCCATTCACTCCAAAGTCACACAAATAGAATCAGCGCAAAGTTGCAAACACAAGCTCAGCATATTCACAAAAATAGGTGTTTAACCACGTTATTTAAAACTACACTGCACTACCTGTTTGTTTTCACACACACATCCTTCCGAAGGAATATATAATGAAAGATACAAGCGTAAGAGGGAGACACAGGTACCAGAACTGGGTTTGATTCTACATTAAGACATTTTAATTTTAAAAAATGATCCACAGAGAACATGTGTTTGTCAGATAAACAGACTGCGTGCTCAGTTTAAGTCCATGTAATGCTCGAAATCCAGAGGAATCTCTGATTTATGCACTTACCTTTGGAAAACGCACTGCTCCTTCCTTTGCTGAAACTCTTCAGAGAGCTAAAAAGAGGTCCTGTTACTTTCAAATGCTTTTGTTCTTCTGTCCTTCTGTCACATGGCTTGCCTTTTATATTTGCAACACACAAAAGTTAGGGCTGTTGTTTAAGAGGGAGCGAGGGAGCGGGAGAGAGAGGGAGAGAGAATGTCAAATGGAAAAGTGCCATTGCAGTCATATATCAATCAGGGCAGCGGCAGCAGCAGCTCGCTGGCAAATGGGAATTCCACAGAAATGTGAAGCTCTTGTTATCTGAGAAATCACAAAACGCCACCAGCCAAGCTCCCCTCCTGCGGGGACTTCTTATAATTGGCAAGCCAGGAAATAGAAGGAAATGTAGGCTTTTTTTGTTGTCGTTATTGCTTCAGATCTGGAGATATATATGCTATGGCATATATAAGCCAGTGGAATATATGTCCTGAATAAAATTCCTTTCTAAATAAATGCACTGTGTGCAAGATAAAGCAATCCACTGGGAAGCAAGCTAATTAGAGCTAAGTGAATAATCTGAAAGTAATAATTTTTAAAATGTGATATATATTGGGGCTTGGAAAAAATCCATAGAGAAACTGACTTTTCCCTGGACTTACTTCTTAATCTATTTTTTCAGACAAGTTTTTCTTAGCATTTTTTTAAGCGTGATTGATCTTCGACATCCTAAATTCAAGCTGTGCTGCTTTATTGCAGTTGGTCACCTGAATCACCTGATGTTCCCCAGCTCCCCAGTTGGGCAAGCATTTTCCATACAGATACTACTGTATGCAAATCTAAAAATCAGATCTTTCAAATAATGCCTGGCTCATATACTCACAGGATCTAGGTTATTTAAGATTTCAAGTAAACATTATATTTTTGCCTTTATCTAGTTTTCTCTGAATAATTCCAAGTTGGAAAATGATTATCATTCAATCCTTTTATGCAGATAATCTCTCTTTTACACAGAATGTAAATCACTGACAGGCTGAAGACAGAGTCCATCCACTGGAAAAAGAAAAAAGAAAAAAAAAAAGGAAAAAAAAAGTGTAACAAGTGCATCTCAAATGTATTTGGTTATGCACAGTTCTGTATCCACAATTGTATTTTTTCTCTTCCAGAATGGCAGCACATTTCACTTCCCTTTAGACTGCCCCCTAGTAGTCCTGCTGTGTTAAATGAGCACTCTGCCAGTAAGAGCAGACCTTATCCAGTTAATTAAAAAATAGGTTACATATCTGGTCATTCACAAGCTGGATCTGTTCACAAGCACTGGCCAGCAGATGGACAGAGTCCCGTGTCGATTGTGTTTGAACTCCGAAGGAAAGTTGGTATTTGATGGATGATGTTATTAGCTAAATGTCTTATGTGGTATAAGATCAAAGAACAGATGGAAATTATGCCTTAAAAATAGAATAATCTAAAAGGGGAATGGCTTGTAGATGACTAAGCATCATGGAAACAATAAAGGAGACATTCTTTGGCTTGCTTCACTGTGGAGCCAGGTTTGTCCGGCGGGATAAACAAATCATCCACTGAGGACCAAGATTCTCCGGGTGTGAGTTTTGCTGCACATTCTTTCCTCATATTCAGTGTTTACATTGTTTTGCCTTTTGAGCCAGCTGGGTGTTTCTCGCACCTATTGTGAATATACCAGTGTCACAGCAGTCACCCAGAGTGGGTGGCAGCCCAGCTCACTGGCATCTTTGCCTCATGCACCTTCACTGTAACCTTGGGCTCAAATGTCACTGATGCTCTGGTATTTACCTTAAATAAATAGAAAGGTCACATATATCTCTTGCTGATTTGACCTGCATTTTTTTTTTTTAAGTTTAACCAAGACCATCTTTTAAAACTAAGGATACCAGCACTTTTGCCACTGTGCTGGCATATAAGAGCACTGTTTTTCCTTGGGAAAGAAAGTGGCTTGCATGGTCTGGTTGCTTGCAGTAAGGACCTGCAATGTGAAAGACAAAAGACTGGCTAAGTAGCTCCTGGATGAAAGCCACCAGGAAACTGTAGATGTCCTGCTCACAGTCCTTACTGAAAATGATGTTTCTTAAATTCCTTACTGCCACAGCTTAGGTCTGTGACCTTTGTGTTAGCTACAGGAGAGTATATCTACATTAGCTGTTTGTTAGGTGCTGAGCACACTTTTAATATTGAACAATTAACAATATAGCCTCAAACAGTGATATTTTTTAGAAGCAGTGCTCAGCTATTTTCTGCCACAGCTATGAAATCCTGATATTAGATTTTTTTCCAAAAAAGTTATTTTTAATTTTTCGACTTCAGCTTCAAGTCCAAGCCCATGTTTGGAGTGAGTGGCAGGGTATCAGCAAATAACTCACCTTCTTTCTTACTTATAAACTGACACTGTTTGTGGCCTCCTAAATGAACTTACACACGTTTGCAAGCACAAAAGCAGAAGTATAAAACATAGACCCCCTTTTAAAACTATGGCCCATAACTTTTTCATATCTGTTCATAAATCTTCATCATCTATTAAACGCTGCAATTTAATCCCATCTGTAAAACCTGAAATTTTAAAGAAAGAAGTAAAAACAAACAAAAGCACAGGAACTCAGAGCTAGGTTTTCAAATATGGTTCGATATCTACAGTGACGACTGATGTTAGATAAAATTTCCAGATACAAGGCATCCAGCTCCCAACAATTTTAATCTAAACTCCCATTAGATGGTGCTTATCTGACTTAGCTGTAGTTCCTTAAAAACTAAGTTTAGGCTTCCACATAACAAATGGAGAGATATTCCACCCTGAATTAATTTCAGTTCAAGCCAACTGGTACCATAAGGTAGGTGTCATAACAATTTTCATTACTGTGACCAACCAAAGATATATTGCATCATTTTGATTAAAAATCTATTTTTTTCATTACTTAAATTGAGCAAGATAATTTCCAGCCTCAAGGACTCAAGTAGTAATTTTGAAGACATGGAGATCCAATTCTCCATGGAGCTCTACCAACCTCCCTAACTCCATCCCCATGACGTGCATCACAAACCTGCAGCAGTCCATGGGCTTCCATAGTCCATTGCTGTATGTCCTACAAAACTAGTGTTTGTCCTTACATTATACTGACATTAGCTGAGGTTCTTAGGATCTAATTCTTTGCCCCGTTGACATCAATATGAGTTGTGTTGCTACCTAATGGAGCAGGATTTTACCTCTTCAGCATGGATTTATGAAACACATTCAGAATTCTGCATCACAAAAAGACCTTTTGTTTTCATTCGAAGTAGTTTCCAGTGTTTTCATTTCATATGCTTACCCTAGACAACTTTTGCTTTCTGAGACAGTGGATAACAGACCTCCATATCATCAAAAAAGCCTGTCAGAGCAAGCACTAGTTGATATCTGTGCAGGTTATCTCAGCAAAGACCATGAGCGGAATAGATATGCAGAGACGATATATTCATGTACATATATAAACTTGTGTACTATTACTGCAAGCATCTGGAGTTGGTAGAATTGATATGGATGCAGCTTATAGTAGGAAAAAGTCTTGTTACATTATTGTTAATGGATAATTGATAAAAAGTGGCTTATATTAGGAGCTAGGCTCTATGCTTTGCATATTTCAGAATGTAGAAGGAATTGAAAGTACAATAGTGTTGAGGAAGGGTCTATAGTAAAGAATATCATCTGTATATGATGTATAAATATTTTGTACAGAAAGGCAATATCCAGAATTCTTAGAGGAACTATATTCTGATATTTTAATAATTTTGATGAATACTAAATTAATAATAATCTATATGAATAAAATCACACACATACATCAATACTAGATCAGATAGCACAAATGTCTATTTAGGCAACTGATGCCTTTTATATCTTCTGTCACTCAGTTGTGTAGTCTCTTATATTCGTTTTGCAAGTATATTTAAATATCTAAATGCATTGAGCCTCTTCTTCTAATGTCCATCAATATGTATTGGAAAAACACAGTATCTAGAATAGTTCATTCAGTTCTTTACAAATATGCCATTATTTATGGAATTAAGCTGTTTTGCAGTACTGTTTTATCTAGGAAATAGTGCTGCTATGGAGGAGATAGTGTGAAAATTCGCTCTGAATTATTTGCTCATTTCTTCTGTGACAGAATTCAGAAAGACATATTGCCCTTGGACTATCTGTACACTTTTGAAATTCACTTGAAAATGATTTTGCATCGTTACCAGGATCTGGTTCTCCCCCTCATTCCTTCAGCAAGAACTGGGAGCCAGTCACATGTCTCCCATGCCATATGCTGGCTACAGCGTGGTAGTTAGGATGGGAAAGATTAGAATGAGCAATCTGGGTGCAGCTGAGTCTACCTTCCTAAAGAAAGTCTCTGCCTGCCATTAAACAAACTCAGACTCCCCAGCACTCATCACAGAGCGCTGATAAACAGGTTGCACAGTTGTTAAGAAGCCTGTGTTCCTGCTTACTTATAATCCTACGATCCTTATTTTCACCCACTCATATTTTGCCACTACAATAAGCATTGATAAACAGGTTTCACAGTTGTTAAGAAGTCTGTGTTCCTGTGTTCCTTCTTATAATCCTACGATCCTTATTCTCACCCACTCATATTTTGCCACTACAATACCTACAACTTTTCTGCACACCTTCTGTAATATTTCAGTTTGGCTCTGCAGGTCCCTTTGCTCCCTCCCCAAAACCATGAGCTTTCTAAAGCCTCAGCAAGAAGCAGTGTGCTCTTGTTGGCTACAAACATCTTAATCATCCAGCGCACTGCAGCTCCTCACCTGCTGAGGTTGCTGAACTGTGTATGTGGAACTTCCTTCTGCAAGGCGATAGGATGCATCACTCCTAAGGACGATCTGAGTATCCTTACGTGACCAAAAACTCATCTAGAACTTACTTTTTTTGTGAGACTTCTGCCTCTCTGTTAAAATCTGCTTGAAATTGTCCAATTAATTGAAAAGACAATGGGAGAACTAACATAAGGTCACATAGACAGAAAGGCAAGCCAATTCTATGGTAAAATCACAAATAAGCAAGAAAGGTGTCTTTTCTTAACTTCATGTTGCTAAAAGATGTTTGTACTTTCTCCTGGAAGAAACTGTAGCCACCAAAAATCCCTGTCTCCAGCATCT